CTCTCTCTCTCTCTCTCTCTCTCTCTCTCTCGAATTGCTCTCTTTCTCTAATCACCCACCTCTCAAAAATCAGTTCTCTATGTTTTCACCATTGTAGGCTACAAAAAATTAAGCTCATAGTGAGGGTGGCAATGGACCCAACTAGATTTGGGACTCGATGGGATAGACCCAAGACCTGACGGGCACGAGTATAGGTCCAACTTTTGGACCCGTCAGGTCGGGTCCAAGTCCAAAACTTGGACCCAAATACATTCGGGTTTAGGTTTGGGTCCGGGTTTGGGTCTGACTAGGCCCGGACCCGACCCAACTTGTTGTCACCCCTACAAAGAGAAACTCATTTTTCAATCTTATTTTGTCATATCTATCGTGAGGCAAACTCATTAGCTGACTCTCTGGTTAACGGAGGACCTGTTTGCTTGCTCTTGCTGTTGCCTCATGTAATTTCTTTTTAGTAGATTTTTTAAATAAAATAAAAAACATTTGTCGAAAAAAAAAAGAGAAAACAAAGGTTTCATGATTGTAGCACGTAATTGTGTTTCTTGGGATATTATAATCATGTCCTTGAAAAAACAATGGGGTATTTTCTGCACGTCAAAGGTTGGGGATTAGATTATAAGGGGGACTATTTACTTTTCGTATAAAAAGGTCGTAATTATTCTTGTCCATCAAATTTCAAATGATTGATTAGATTTAAAATTTAAAAAATAAAAAATAAAAAACAATCGAACATCTCAAACAATCCAATTTGAAAGTAATTATAAATTCCTTGTAACAAAAATAAACGGTCTCTTACTGTGCAATCCCGAATTAAAAATCCTTGTTTTCTTCTCCATCTATAATTTCTCTCTCTCTCTCGGCCCCCTTGCCTCCACGTTTTCACTCTCCTCCAAAGTCGTGTTTGTATAAGCTTGTTTAATAATTATTTCCACGCCTTTTTTGTCTTACTCTGGTGCAGGTATACTTATGTAGTCGAGTATTCATATGTATTTGAATGGGTAAGCAAAAGGTTAGGCATGACTCTACATTCTACAAAGCCAATTAATTAACCCAAAAGAAAATCAACGCATGGGGAATTTACTTGGAACTACACTTTATTATACCACAAAAATATAATATGAAAAAAAAAATTAGGGTTGGCAATGGACTGGGCGGCCTGGTCCTTAAAAAAGTAAGCGCCGGGCCACAAATTATGGCTGAGGGTGGGGTTGGTGCTAGTGCCGGCCCGGCTTGGCACTTTTCTTTCCTGGTTTTTCTTTTAGTTTGCCTCGTTTGTTTTTGGCGTCCGGCCCTATGGGACAAGAGCCGGGCCACTGTCAGGCCGGGCCTCCCTAATGTAATCAGTGATGGGGAAAATTTGATATATAAGTCACAATAGAAAATCAAGCCATGAGGGAGTTACTTGAACAACTCACTCTCTCTCTCTCTCAGATGGAAGCAAAATTTCTCAATTTTTTAAGTGATCAAAGATCGGAAGTGAGTATTGAAGTTTGAGAGTGATGAGAAAACTATTTGGGAATTCAGGGTCGAGGAGGGTGAGGGTGGAGTCGGCCCTCAGCGAGGCCCAGCTTCAGGATGGGTTTGTGTCGTATCCATGGGAGAAGAAGATGAAGGAGTTCTTGCCAATTCCACATTCCAGTAGCTTTCTCTCTCTACTCGTCCTCCCAAACGCCCCCGATCGCGTCTCCCCGCGCTACAATAACCTCAATGATACACTGGCCAGGGCACATGCCTGGTTGACCGCATCGCAGGCCTCCGGTGTGCCCATCGACTTCATGAATGTCCAGACTGAAGCTTTGCTTACCAAGGTGAGGATCTCTCTTTCTCTGCCCCTCCCTTTAAAGTTTAAACTCTTCTCTCTCTCTCTCTCTCTCTCTCTCTCTCTCTCACAGTATTAAATTAGTTGAGTAGTGCCCAATTTTGATTCTGGTTAACTGAGATCTTATAAAGGGGTATTTTGGGATCATGTTGAAATTTCAAAGATGATCCAAGATTTTTACAGTTAAATTTGCTTCTAATGGAGAGAGACTCTTAGAGAGAGAAAGGCATGAATTTTGGAAGTAATTGCTCAAATCTAGCGTGTTTCGAACACAGAACCGGACCGGAACAGCCAGCCCGAGTCTAGAGCCTAGGCCGAGAAGGCCTGACCGGGTCGGTAGCCGTTATTAAGTTTTGTTTAGCCCGGGCGGTCCTTATAAGAGCAGGACCAGGCCTGGGTGGTTGTCTGTTTGGCCCGATTTGGGGCTGTCCAGCTCTCCGAACATGGACAAATGGCATATTGGATGATCAAGAGGAAGAATGGATATGGACCATAGAGCAAGTCTCGGTTTAAAATATAATTTTTTTAAAAAAAAATCTATGACTTTTTTGAAATTCATTAAAAACTCTTTAAGTTTTTTTAAAAGATCTTCAAAAAAATTACCTTCTTTTTTTAATAAACCAGTATAAATCTATATTTTATCTTTTTTAAAAAAAAAACTTCTCCCCTATAGTTTTATTTCTTTATTAATATAATATTATTGACTTTTTGTTCAAAGATAAGCACATTAATATTAGGAGTAAATTAAAAATCTTTCAAAAAATAAAGTTTATAAAAAATTTCACCAATAAATTCCCTTTAAAAAAAGTGTACAAATAAATGCAAGCAATATATTCTCTAAAAAAAATATTTAAACAATCATATCAAATTAATATAGGTAGAGTTAGAAGAAGAGTAACCTAATGAAAAAAAAAAGATTCTTTAAACCTAGAGCATCCTTATAAAGAGCAACAGAGATATTCAATGATATTAAAGATTTAGGCAGATAGGAATTCAGTGTGAGATTTAAACTTGCTTAAGCATTTTGTTGCTTTCTTTATGCATAGAGAAGTTTGATTTCATATTTTTGTTTTTTTTTTTTTCATTTAATTGGTGTGTACAATATAGTACTTTGGATGAACCACTATTTTACATATTTGGGTCTTTATTTTCAGTTTTAGTTACCTGGATTCCTATACCGAGGGTCTTTTTTGTTTTTTTCCTTGAACAATAATCTATACATTGGTTTATAGTTCTTGTTATTCAGTAATGTAGTTCTTTCATTTAATATTATTTTTGTTGTTTCATTTTATGCTCTCAATAAATATACAATATTTTTTGTAGTACTGTTGGATTATTGAAAGACAATAAATTGTCAAGTATTACTCTAATGGCACTAGGTAAGGCCATAAAATAATTGTTCAATAGCTTTAATGTATCTGTAAAATAACTGCAAATGATGATTTTATATAGTATCATCTTTTCAAATCCGAAATATTCATGATTCTACAACTTACTTTATTTTTTGGTCATCTGTGTTTTTTTACCCAATTTTTTCCTCTGACTTTCTTAAATAAAATGTTGTGGTAATGTTTTGGTGTACGAAACAGACATCAGGGGAGGGGGTTTCAACAACAGTGAATACAGGATCATTAGCGGATCTCTCAAACATGTTGAACTCAGGGGTTTATGGTTTTGAAGATTACCATGGTTTGGATATTGGTATTGTTAGAACTGTTCGTCTCTGGTACGCTCCCAGTGCAAGGGAGTTCCCCATCGAGATAGAGTTAATGGAAGGTGATACCAAGCTCGGATTCGCCATTAGTCGCACAGATGAGGTACTCTCTCTCTCTAGTTTTTTGTTTGGGTGCGGTTTGTATATAGCCGAGGCTCTAAACAATCAAAGCAAAGTGCACTTTCAAATAGTATCGAGAAATGTGGTTTAGTAGTGAAAATCTTTGTGATAGCTTTAAAATATATTTCCATTTTTAATTATAAAACAATTGTGTAGATCGAGCAGATCTATGAAAACTTAAAATCTTAAAAATTAATGGTCCAAAAATGCATCACATGCACTATTTTCAGAACTTGGAATCTATTTTCTTCTCATATCGATACAGCTTGATATCGCGATGATCAATTTGAAGATATTTGGACATCAATACAATATTTTTTAATGAACTTTTTGAGGGGGGCTCTAATTTGATTGTTTAGAGCTTAGGCTATGTATAATTTTTTACCTTTTTGTTTAGGTCCTTTAGGATAGGGTGCCGTTTGTAGAGAGTCGATGTTCTAAACAATCAAAGTAGAGCGCAGCTTCAAATAGTATTGATAACTGTGGTTTTAATACTGGAAATCTTCGTGATAGTTTTAAAATATATTTTTATTTTTAATTATAAAATTTAAAGCTTCAAAAGTAATGTAGATCAAGCATATTTATAAAACCTTGAAATCTTGAAAATTAATGGTCTAAAAATACGTTACAAAATACAACTATTTCCAAAACTTGAAATCCATTTTTTTCTCATGTCAATGCATCTTGATATCAAGATATTCAATTTGAAAATATTTGAACATCAAAACAACCTCTTTTAATGAAATTTTTGATGTGCACTATAATTTGATTGTTTAGAGACTCGGCTCTATATAAAACTTTTCCCTTTAGGATAAGGATGCGTTTTCTATGAAGTACGAGAAAAAGTAAACCTTACCTCAAAACTCCATCCAAAATATGCTTCTTAGTATATGAAACCCCTATAATAGTTTTAAAATCTATTTTTACTATTGATTATGAAATTTTATATATGAAAGATGGAACACTTCTTGTAGATTTGTAAATACTTGAAAATATATGATCTAAATAACGTGTTACAATACATATCTCTTTAAGGCTTTATCAATTCTTTGAAAATGGATGCTCTAGATAACATGTCACCGTATAGACCTTTTTGGCTTAGACCTTAGGCCGTATGCTAATGGTAACCACTAAAGACACGCTTTCGAATCTTTATAAACCACCTTGTTTTTTATTTAAATTTATGAAATAAATTAGGGAATTTAGATGTGATGCTTGGGTTGCGTGTCACCACAAGGAAAGAGTTTTCTTAATACCTTTTGTTTCCTAGTGGCTTCCATTTTAATAGGATCTTATGTCATTTTAGCTTACCTACCAATATAAAGAAAAAGAAAACCATCCCATTAAATACTCTTACTCTAGTCTAGGGTTTGGAAATGCGAATCTAATTATATACTTGACGTATTTCTTAAGTTTTGACTTCTATTTCCTAACGTATCTTTGTCTTCATGTACATGATACCATCGGTCAATGGACTAAGGCATACGGTTGAAAAATCGAGATAACTTCAATTTCTACAAATCAAGATAACTTAAATTTCTACTGGTGAGCACCCCACAACAATAAATTCAACACTTAAATAAAATACTCAAGAGCAATATTGTGTGTGCATTGTATATGAAAAAAAAATGGAAATAAGAAAACAAGTAATATCGGAAATAATCAAATAACAACATAACTAAAAGTAGAGAGGGAGATGTATATTTACAAGCCTCAACTAATGGACAAGAGGGCAAAAATGCATTCACTATCGAAAAAAAAAATTTTCAAGTTTGAGTCTTTGGAGAGATTATCTCATACATGAAAATTTCGTATGAACACCGTCGCCACAAGGAAATTATGATGAAATCCAGCCCAATATACAATGGTGCTAGGGTTTTGACAAGAAGTCTCCAATCTCTACCTCCAAGTCCCTTCGCACTTTTTTTTTTTTTCTTTACAGAAGAGCTCCCTCACTTCTTAACCCAATGTTTCCCTCTCTAAATGGTTTATAAAACCTCCATAAAAGCTTGTACCAAACTGTACAAATTCTCCCTCGAGTAAAAGACTTAGGAGTATTTTCTTGGTCTAGAATATCTAGAATTTTATGGTCTATTTTAGAATTAAAAATTTAAGATTCACTTTAGAATAATGATATGATTATTTAAAAAAAAAAAAAAAGAAGAAAGAAGAAAGAAAGAGTTTGGGGTTTTCAAATAGACCTATACTCTTGCTCGATTTTGGGAGATTGCACTTTTAAGTTTGGTCGTAAGGTAGAGGGGTTACATAGCATTCACTCATTTAATTTCAGGCAAATTTATCAAAACTTGATGAACTACTTAATATCTTACCCATTCTTTTGATTTAATTGCAAAAACATAGTTAAAGGACACAGTCACATGGTAGATAGTTGATATTTTAGATGTGTTTTGATAAATAGGTAAAATTAAGTAGTTGATAATTTTAGGTGTGTTTTGATCAATGATTGAAAACTTGGAGGAGTCCACTCAGTCTCGGCTCCTTGTTGAGTCACGTACTTGGGTCCAACTTGGGAGGAAGCTTTCCATGTGACCCCGCATATATATATATATATATATATATATATATATATATATATATATAATAATATATAGTACTACTACTATACTCTACGTACGACGTACGTACTAGTAAGTAGTAGTTGGTAGAGTATACGTAGTAGTACGTACTAA